CAACCCTATCGATCAACAACCCATCATGACTTTGGCGAGGCAAATGTATCCAGGTAACACAGACCATTTCATGGAGCCGTTTCAAAGGGCTACCCAGAAGCCTTATGGCTACTTGTTGGTTGATCTAAAACCCCAAACACCTCCCCATAGGCGACTTTGTCCCAATGCATTCAGTTTAAAAGGACACCTCCAAGCCAGGACAAATCAGTCCGAGTTAGATGTTCAGCGTGAGCGAACGTGTGAAGAAAACCTCTCAACCATGCCAACTTGTGATGCCTGTGGACTCGTGTTTCAAGATGTGCAAGATTTGCAAAAACACAGAAGAAACTGGTGTCCCGAAAAGTCTTCAGTGGGTCCTCCTGGGATACCCCAAGTGAAAAGGCAGTGGGAGGAAGACAACAACTTCTCACCTGTGAAGAGACCACGTCCTCTGGTGGATTGTGACTATTGTGGTCAAGTGTTTAGCACTAACCATAACTTACAAAGACATTTACACGATAAACAATGTCCTGAAATGGAAAATGAGGGACGATGATGTTGAATCATTAAGCGATGTCACACACAACAGGAAAAATAAGATGGTTGATCTCGAAGAGCAAGGTATAAGACAAATGTATTCACGTACGCGTGAGCTGAATAAAGACTTTTGGATGAGAAACGACAGCTGTACATAAAAGAGGTTTAAACGAAGACATGATTCAAGCCAAACTGAACAAATTGATCTGGAGCACGTTTAAAGAGACGTATGCCCGATTTATTACTTATCTGTACCATATGCAGGATGGTCCAAAGACACAAGGAATACTGAAACGAGTAAAAGACACAAATAATATGTATCATGAAGTGATTTCAAAATTGTACCAATATAAGTCTTGGGTCGAAGGCATGACCGAAGATGAAGACATAACATCTGATGAAGAGAGTGAAGGACAGGTGGATGATGATGAAGGGTAATAAGACAACAGATGTAAAGTAGGCATTTGGGAGAGCTCCTATCCTAATGTCTACTCATTTGAAAACAGACTAATAAACAATGAAATCTGTATATCTCTCTTGTTTCTTAATGTATTGTACCTCTGGGTTACACTTCAGTAACCCATGCTTGTCATAAGAGGCGACTAAGGGGATCGAGTGGTCAGGCTCGCAGGTTGACACATAGCACATGGTGTAGAATGACGCTTATGCTGTTGATCACTGGATTGTCTGGGCAATTATGTACAGACCACCGCCATAGAGCTGATGAGAGTGTACTAAACTCACTGAATGTATTGCTGTAGGATTGACATAAAACAACTGTTGTACAATTCTTGGTTTTTTATAATACCAATTTCAACCCTATTTCACTGAATCCACGAAAATGTTTAACCTCCTCATACTATTATCAGACATACAAGTTTCAGTTTAATCGTCATTCCTGTTGATTGAATACAAGATAACAACTGTTTCAGTTCATGGTATTGAAGATAACAACTGTTACAGTTCATTGTATTGAATACAACAACAATTTTAATGATCTGTAATGAATATATTTATATATATACATATATATATAAACGGTTTATAAATACATAAGCTATTACAAATGGTCACTAGTGTTGTAAAAGCCGGTTTGGACATGTAGCCGGTTTGGACATGTAGCCAATTTGAGTCAGAACCGTTTGCGAACCGGTTTGATAGACCCGTTTGCGATCAGTTTGACAGAACCGGTTTTAGGTAGGGGCTGTTGGCGCCAATCTTGAATGCTCTTTGTTCACTGCCATGTGCAGCCGGCATGTTGTGCTGTGCGTGTTTAGGTATTCTGGCGGTTTCATGACCGTTTAAAACAGCACAGTAGGTGTGGAATTTATGTGATGGATCATTCTCTATTCTAATTTGTGAGTATTTTTGCGTATAAAACGTATTGTGTGAATAATGTTGTTGACGACAGTATCGTGAGTACACATGTTAACAATGCGAGTACATCTACACACTAACATTGGTTTTATGTAAGCTGTAGTTTAGAAAAACGATGAATCTAGGGAAAGGTTCTGATTATGATTGGACTGTGTTTATTGTGTTGGGATTTAAAGATTCATGGCATATGGGAGTCATGTCAACTTTCTATCGATCGTATCCTGTGTGTGTATCGGGCTGTGTTTATTCATGTGATTGTGTGTGAGTTTTAAAGTAGGCTCATGGCATATGTGAGTCATGTGTAATCAATTTTCTATAGGTTGTATTCTGTGTGGGCTGTATTTATTCATATGATTATGTGGGATTTTAAAAGTAAGTTCATGGTGACTCGTTCTTCATGGGATATTTTGGTGAAAGCATGCTGTGAGTGATTTCGCGATGAGTTTCAACATTATACTCAGTTTTTCATCGGCGGGCATGGCTAGGACTTTGTTATTTGTTTAAATCTATATATTTATCATTTTGTTTCAAAATGGCGGCGGGGACGCGATCTATGACCTGGTTTCTTCAATGGGCGTGAAGGCCGTCATGCTTCTCAGTTCATTGAACGTAGGGAGAGCAATGTTATGGCAGAATGAACATGGCACACCTCACTCGGAGGCTGTGGCAAATTAAAAGAAATATTAACATGGACACTCGGTAACATGTATTTGAAGTTATTTTATTTTCACTCCATTATACGCTTGTTTTCTTAATCTTCATGCTTGGTTGGGAGAGGGATTCCCTTCCCGTAAACATAGCTTTGAATGGCTGTAGAGTCGGACTTACGGGTGGGCAAATGGAGTCATTCATTGTTGGAGTACAGTATGAATCAATCTGTTTCTTCACATGAATGGGTTACTTGTTCCAACCCCTCTAAACATCTAGATTTACCACCACTGTTTGCCTCAACAATGGATATGATGAACAGAGGTGAGTTGACTTCATGTACACTTTATCCCCAACACTCGTTCAATCTGATGATGATGTAAATCTTAATCTGTGTTACGATGTATTCTGTGTTACAATGTAAGGACTGAAGGTAGGACGTTGTATGCATTTGAATTTCACATTTTTAATAGTTATAGTTAGTCAGACGGGAATTGATACTGCGATAATGGGCGCTCGCTTTGAGATTAAAGAAATACACTGGTAGTATAATGTGTAGTGACTCTATTGTATAAGATGTTTTGTAATCCAGTGAGAAATATACACAATGTTTAATTACTCCAGAGATGTGTAGTTGAGAGGCTGATGAAAATATAAACCCAGTAGACAGTATAATCCAAGGTTGATTAGTAATCCAGTGCACACAGTATAATCCAATGAGAAATACACTGGTATATCCACAATGTGTAATCACTAGGTGTAGTGACTGAAACTGTGTATGGAGGGCTATTCAGGGGACCTTTTATTATTCTAAAATAGACACACCAGGTGTTCACATGAGTCATGGTCTAAATATAGATTTTGACCCAATAAAGCCCCATAGCTAAAATAGATTTTGGACCCTTTTGACTTGCCCCATAAAGGCCTCTATACTACTCATGGATGTCATCAAATGCCTTAAAATTAAATTAAGAGAAAACAGAGTCCATTCTTTTGGGACAGGCTGGAAAACGCAAGCAGTGCGGCATTACTAGTGTGTGTGTCTGTGGAGCAACCATTCCTCTTTCATCCACTGTCAACAATCTGGATGTTGTCATCGATCAAGATCTAAGTATGACAGTACACGTCAAGTATGTTACTAAAACATGCTACTCCCATCTCCACAATATCAAAGGCCAGGCCGTTCTTACCAAAGATGCCTCAAAAACTCTCTGCCTCAGCCTAGTCACATCTCGTATGGACTACTGTGACAGCCTTTTCGCCGGATCTCCATCTTGTGTCACTGACCAACTCCAATGCATACAGAATTTAGCTGCTCGCATTACCTCCCAGATCACCAGAAACAAGCACATCACACCAACTCTAAAGGACCTTCATTGGCTGCCCGTGAAACAAAGAATCGCCTTCAAACTATTCTGTCTCGCATACCAGTGCATGACTAACACGGCTCCAGTCTAACTCTCAAATGTTCTTCAGGCTTATGCACCATCTAGATCTCTCAGAACAGGGAATCAACACCTTCTTGTTATCCCCAAAGTCAAACAAGCTAAATATGGATACCGTGTGTTCTCCTATCCCGCTGATAAACATTTTTCTCCCCACATTTATTTGTATATCTTTTTTTTCAAAATTATAACCATTTTAGAAAGTTATTCGATCTGATGACTTGAAAATTATTTCAATGGATTTAATTGAAGAGAGTGTGAAGCAGAAAATAGTGTTTTCTCTCCATCATTTCATTATATTCTTATCTTTTTTCAAAGAACTCTGCTTTTAGAAGAAAAACTTCAAGCGTAATAATAAGAAATTGATAAATCTTAATCTGATATTGACATACTACATTTTGAAATAATGACTGCTCCCTTACTGACAGTCTCACCAAACAAAAATAAACATCTCTTTTATGTTTCATACATAACTGTTTTTTAATAACTTGCTTTTACATTGAGTTGATGAAATGAAGCAATCATATACTTACAAAATGCACAAAACCTACATCTGCTTAAATTCGTCTGCTAGCTGCCATTTTGAGAGAGGGAGTGTTCAATATATTTATTTTTTAATTAAAAAAAAATATATTTTTTGGGTTTTCTTTTAATAAAATATTTCATGAAATAGAGAAACACACTTGGATAAAGTTAATAACCTCAAACTTTAAATATTCAACTCTCCCATTATGACCTTCTGACCTTTTAGCAACCTTTTCCACAACCACTTTGTACAGTGCTCAAAAGTACTATTTGCACCATATTTCAACTTGGAACCAAACTTTTTATTTAACTAGCATGTCTGATGAATACAAAAAACACAATGTCTTGCTTTCATCACAAAACTTCCACGGGACTTGAATGCTGTACCCATCCTACCAGACTACATGGATGTGGCCGAAAATACACTTTGTCATCAGTTTGTGGCCGTTTCCTCCATCTTGGGGACGTGTTATTTGCACAGTGCTGTTTATCACTACGACTGATCGACTGGTACGTTAACCCGACTAAGAGGTACAACTACAAACGTGCTTGGTGAGCCGGGGAGAGTGCATGCGAGTCGGATTCTGTCCGAGCTGCAGGTGAATCGAAATGTCGGAAACAGATAAAGCCCAGACCGCGACACCAGGTGGTGACACCATCTTTGGCAAGATCATACGCGGGGAGATTCCTACCACGTTTCTACACAAGGACGATGTGGTGAGTGTGAATGTATCTGAAGAAGCAAGTAGTCCGTGGCTGGAGTCTACAAACATTCGGTTTGGTCTAGGTGAGCTCAGATGCTACTGATATTGGTACAGACACTCTAGAACAAAATACTTCAGATCAATAATGCAACTACATTGATGAGTTTGCACCTGTGTTCATGTCTATGCTTTATAGTTTTCTGACTGTCTTCTAATTATATAATCAGACTTACATCAAGTCTGCATGTTGTGTAATACAGTTTCTTGGTATTGCATCATGCATGTCCATCAATAAACAAGATGCAGTGGGCATGGTGCTCACCAGGCTCAGTGCAGCAGCTCTGCTCCAACACAGGATACTTGACAGCACTGTTTACAGCAGCAGTCAAAACCTGCCCCTGTCTGTGTGGGGAAGTACAAGGTTTCCATCACTTTTCCACCGTCTGCCTTTCCTCGGTGGAGGATACCCGTGAAGATCCGGGTTAGAATTGATCTTCAGTAGCCCTATTATGTGAGGGACAATGCTCATGCTGTTGATCACTGGATTGTCTGGTCCAAACTTGATTATTTACAGGCCGCCACCATATAGCTGGAATATTGCTGAGGGTGGCATAAAACTGAACTCACTCACTCACTCCTTGGCGGAGGGACGCAAACATCTGAAAACATGCCATCCGGTCCTGTCGGCGCCATCTACACTGCGCCCTTTGTTAGCTTCTCATCAGTCTTGCTCATGCATGGTTTGTTTAGGTAACCGCAACAAAGTCTCACAACATCATCATTTCAATTTTAAAGGTGTCTATACAATGAAGCCTGGATGCCAGAAATGTGGGAAGCCTCAATATCTCAGTTTTTGTGTGTGGAATGCAGGAAATGATTCTGCAGGAGGCATGCAACATATGTTATATTTGGGAGTACACTTTCTTTGTAAAGTAAAAATTCTAGTACTTTTGGGGGGTTGAGTCCCATCCGGGATTTGAACCCACACCCTCAGAGTCAGGCACCAAATCGCCAGCACACAAAGTCAGCCGCCTAACTCGCTCAACAACCGTGACTTCCACAAAAAATGGAAGTCGGACAACTGGTAGTCTAGACTGTGGACCCCTCTGAGCAGGAGGAGTGGTGTAATAGACATTATAGTTACTATATAATCTGGTTTGAAATCGGATGTAGACCTGGTTTATGGCACAGGTTGATTCCACTTTTCTTAATAACCTGCTTTTATGCACCGGTGAAGGTCCGGGTTTGAATATTGATCTTCAGAAAACCATGCTTGTCGTAAGAGGCGACTAATGGGATCAGATGGTCAGGCTCGCTGACTTGGTTGACACGTGTCATCGGTTCTCAGTTGCACAGATCGATGCTAATGCTGCTGATCACTGGATTGTCTGGTCCAGACTTGATTATTTACAGACCGCTTGCATATATATAGCTGGAATATTGCTGAGTGCGCGCATAAAACTCACTCACTCACTCACTCTTTTTATGTTTGAAGCTGAGTGCTTTAGCATATGTATAAACAATATGCTTCCACAATGAAACCAGAACAGTAACCTATTCAGGTCAGAACTAAGGCTAACTGCATTCGCTTGTGATGCACAGTCGAGGGCGTGATGTAGTCACTAGTAGACTCTTAGTTCTCACAACCACTACAGAAAGATCTGAGGGATGGACTGTAACAGGTCATCATGCTGTTCCTTTAGTTGCCCATGCACCCCTGTAACAAACTGGGAAAACGCACAAATAAATGATAACAGTTTCTTAAACAACTTTTGTATTTTTGTGACACAAATTATGCATTTTTTTCTAGAGTTGGTCTGTTGTTTTTATTGCAGTCCGCGTTGGTTTGATTCTTTATGCCAATTTGTTTTTGTGTTAGATTGCAATTCATCGGTATCATTTTGTCTCAAATGGACTGTACAGTTGTGTTATCCATGATGTTGTCCATGATGTTGTCCATGATGTTATCCATGATGTTGTCCATGATGTTGTCCAGTTGTCCATGATGTTATCCATGTTGTTGTCCAGTTGTTCATGATGTTGTCCATGATGTTGTCCTGTTGTCCATGATGTTGTCCATGATGTTGTCCATGTTGTTTTCCATGTTGTTGTCCAGTTGTCCATGATGTTGTCCTGTTGTCCATGATGTTGTCCATGTTGTTGTCCAGTTATCCATGATGTTGTCCATGTTATCCATGATGTTGTCCATGATGTTGTCCGTGATGTTGTCCATGATGTTGTCCTTTATGTTGTCCATGATGTTGTCCTGTTGTCCACGATGTTATCCATGATGTTGTCCATGATGTTGTCCAGTTGTCCATGATGTTATCCATGATGATGTCCATGATGTTGTCCATGATGTTGTCCTGTTGTCCATGATGTTGTCCATGATGTTGTCCTGTTGTCCATGATGTTCTCCATGATGTTTTCCATGATGTTGTCCATGATGTTGTCCAGTTGTCCATGATGTTGTCCTGTTGTCCATGATGTTGTCCATGATGTTTTCCATGATGTTCTTCATGATGTTGTCCATGATGTTGTCCATGATGTTATCCATGATGTTGTCCATGATGTTGTCCATGATGTTGTCCATGATGTTCTCCATGATGTTGTCCATGATGTTATCCATGATGTTGTCCATGATGTTGTCCATGTTCTCCATGATGTTGTCCATGATGTTCTCCATGATGTTGTCCATGATGTTCTCCATGATGTTGTCCATGATGTTATCCATGAGCCCATGATGTTATCCATGATGTTATCCATGATGTTGTCCATGATGTTCTCCATGATGTTCTCCATGATGTTGTCCATGATGTTATCCATGATGTTGTCCATGATGTTGTCCATGTTGTCCATGATGTTGTCCATGATGTTGTCCATGATGTTCTCCATGATGTTCTCCATGATGTTGTCCATGATGTTCTCCATGATGTTCTCCATGATGTTGTCCATGATGTTGTCCATGATGTTCTCCATGATGTTGTCCATGATGTTCTCCATGATGTTCTCCATGATGTTGTCCATGATGTTATCCATGAGCCCATGATGTTCTCCATGATGTTGTCCATGATGTTGTCCATGATGTTATCCATGATGTTCTCCATGATGTTGTCCATGATGTTATTGTGAGTGATGAAAGTGGTAATGTCTTTGGACAATTATGCCAGCTCAATCTGATGACATGCCCACTTGATATCTAATCACTTCATCAATGGCCGGAATCAGGTGCCTGACTCTGAGGGTTCGAATCCTGGATGGAACTCAACCTGACAGAAGAACTAGAAACTGTATTTTACTGAGAAAGTGTACTCCCAAATATTACATGTGTTCCATTTGATGCATTTCTGAATGGCACTGTGTATTCATAGGTTCTAACATAGGTTTGCTTACTGTCACAAATGTACTTATTGTTGCTGCCACTGAAAGTTATTCTGTGCAGTCACACGGATACAAATTCTTGGTTCCCTTCTTTGAGTGGTTCATTTATCTCTGGAGGCACCAGTATCAATGATGCATGCTGGATTCCAAACATTGCCAGATTGGCTTCATTTTTTCTTGTGGCACATGCTTGAATAATGCCTACAGGATATCTGAACATAGCAAGATTAGTTTCATTTTCTCAAGAAGCACCAGTTTGAATAATGCTCACATCTGTGATTGATGAATTGTCACATATTTTGATTGTTTACTATTGACTGACTTAAACCCTGCATGCAGTATGCTATCTCTCAGCAGTTGGTCAAGCCCCATACTTGCTTACCAATAGGGCTGGATATTGCCTTGATTCTTATATTGTGATATATTGCAATAATTCAAGAGATATTGCAATACATATTGTGATATATTGACTGGAAGGTTTCTCTCAAGTGTGTACATCATAAATTCATAATAGCTCTCTGTGTGCGACATCATCTATTTAGTTGCTGTTACACCATACCTTCATCCTCCCTGTCCCCATTGTGTATGGGTGTATGCTAGTGGTGTACAGATAAATGATATAGAGCCTAAATGTGGAATGTTTCATTGAAGTAACCTTATTGCAACAACGTTTTGCAAACATAATGATAAAGGTAATACTATAACATGATTTTCATGGTCAGTGTTGCACTTCAATGCGGTATGTACTTATTGTTTCTGTTTGTCAGTGATTCATTCAGATTCTCCAATATAAAGATGTGTTAGCACGAACTGTTGTAAAATGAAACAAAAACATGATTTAGGTGAACTACTTGTGCTTAAAATCCCATGTGACCTCCAATAACTAAGATCCTTCACTAGAATGCCATTATACAGTCCTACAAAATTTACGATACTTTGGCCTTTATCATAAATTGATAACATATGTGCCATTATGAAACAAAAATAACAAAATAATGTGAATTGTGAAATGGTCACTCAGAGCCAGTAGCTCTACTTATAAGTCCATATAAAAGATTAGTCAATTTTTTTAAGGGCATTTAGAAGTGGAATGCATAAGAAAAGCAAGATTTATGGATGTCAACTTCTTATTGTGAATATTCATGACCTGATGAAGGAGCAAGCATACACTCCAAAACGTTGTGTTATTAGCAGCAATAAGTTGACATCCATAAATCTTGCTTTTCGTAAAAGATTGGTCCATTTGAGGGCCACTGAATTCTTCCAAAACGTTGCATATGAAATCATTCAAACCCCAAAACTTAAAGCATTTAGTAGAATATTTGGCACTTTTGCAGCCACTTATAAAGACACTTCCACTTGTAAAATGTTACATGAAACAGATAAGAAAAGTATAATTGGCACTTTGAGCTCATTTTATTGCTATGGGAATGAAGGGCAGATAATTCAAAGGGAGTTAACTCTGGATGACCCAATATATTGCAGAATCTGAACCACATCGCGATAATCGTATCGCGAGATACTTTACCGGTATATACCGGTTTACCGGTTATATTGCACAGCCCTACTTACCAATAAAAAGAAATCAGTTGATTTTCCTTTATTGATCTGTATGAACAGTTTACTGAAACTCCATATTTTCTAAAGATGGCCCGGGTCCACCTAATGGTCGTGATGCTTGCCTTTTATCACATCACATGCATATGTACGTGTTTGCTGCGCCCGAAGTGTCAAATTGTCATAAATACATAATTATCATATGAATATAATTGGGTATATGGGGTTTAAGAATCATAGTTGTTGCAATACTTTTGTATATTTGTGTATGTGTATATTTGGGATGCTCATGGCATAGTTCTTTGTTTTGCAGTGTGTTGTGTTTAATGACATCAGTGCTCAGGCTCCAGTCCACTTCCTTGTTGTACCAGTGAAACCCATCGTGCGGCTTGCCGAAGCTGAAGATTCAGATAAAGAGGTAAGGAACATTCCATATACACAGGGATTCCTGGACTGTGATACTCAGGCTTGATCCAATACACAAAGTGGAAAAAGACAATGTTCACAGAGACTGACCTTGACTTGATGTCCAGTACTCAGCAGCAAATGACATCACAAATTGTCACTTTAATGAATTTCAAAATGAAAACCATTATTTTCTTCTAATTTGCCACCTAAGGACACTTAGTCTGGAACCCTCGGTAAATGCCTTGGACAAATGGTATCACATACAAGTATAAGTTAATGAAGACTGTAGTACCTTGTGTCTGACATAATGCAGTCTTGCTTTCCAAACAGACATGACTTTGTAGTCGGATGTGCACATTAAACATGCAGACAATGTTCAGATATTTTTCCCCAAGCAAATACAATATACAAGTTGTATTTTAAAAAAATGTATACAATCATATGGCTGGGATATGGTTTAGTACAGCATTAAGGAACATACAGTCAGATTATTATATTTGGCCTTTTCAACCAAATCATTAGAATCACACAAATCCATCTGTATGTAGACACTAGATCTAAGGTGGGTGAGAGCCTTCATCTGTATGTAGACACTAGATCTTTAAGGTGGGCTGACCCTTCCACACAAATACACCTGTATGTACACAAGATCTACACCTGTATGTAGTACACTAGATCTAAGGTGGGCGGACCTTCACACACAAATACACCTGTATGTAGTACACTACAGGGTGGGTGAGGCCTTCATATACACCTGTATGTAGTACACTAGATCTAAGTGGGTGAGGCCTTCACACACAAATACACCTGTATGTAGTACACTAGATATAGTGTGGGTGAGGCCTTCATATACACGATAGACACTAGATCTAGTAGACACTGGGCTGGACACCATTCACACACAAATACACCTGTATGTAGTACACTAGATATGTAGTACACTAGATATAGTGTGGGTGAGGCCTTCATATACACCAGTATGTAGTACACTAGATCTAGGGTGGGCGGACCCTTCACACACAAATACACCGGTATGTAGTACACTAGATATAGTGTGGGTGAGGCCTTCATATACACCGGTATGTAGTACACTAGATCTAGGGTGGGCGGACCCTTCACACACAAATACACCTGTATGTAGTACACTAGATATAGTGTGGGTGAGGCCTTCATATACACCGGTATGTAGTACATTAGACCGAGGGTGGGTGGGGCCTTCATACACACAAATACATGTTTAAATTTACTATGCATTTTTTGTAAAGTTGATGCATTGCACACAGTAAAATTATGTTGCAAAACCAAATCCTCGAACCTCTGCATGGATCTCAAAATTATTAGTGAAACAGCCAAAAAGTTTGTCTAAACAGGTTTCACTGCAATCTAGAAATTTGCAGTGGAGAGCAAATGCAAATCAAGTCGATAATCACTGGAAGAAACATTAACTTGGAAGCACTTATTGGGTCAGTTTTGAACTACAGACCTTTTGAAATTACGGCAATATGATGTGTCTTTGTTAGACGGTAAAGAGTAGATTCAGTGATGCATTGCCACTTAAAGACAAATAATACTTTAGTATAGTAATGAAAATTTGGTCAAACACTCAAAGATATTAATACCAATGTTTGTGCTCTCAGACGAAAGATAAAACCATCAATTTTGAGACAAAGATAGAATTTTACCCCTGTACTTCTTTTCAGCTAATTTTAGGCGTAGATACTCCGGAGGTTAAAACATTATCTGGAGCACTATATATTTCAGACCAACAACTGACAACAAGCATCTCATCTGTCCTTATATGCATTGATTTTGACATCTTTTATGCGGGACCCGTGAAGATCCGGGTTAGAATTGATTTTCAGAAACCCATGCTTGTCATAAGAGGTGACTAACGGGATCAGGTGGTCAGGCTCGATGACTTGGTTGACACATGTCATCGTATCCCAATTGCATAGATCGATGCTCATGCTGTTGATCACTGGATTATCTGGTCCCAGACTCGATTATTTACAGACTGACGCCATATAGCCAGAATATTGCTGAGTGCAGCGTGAAACTAAACTCACACACTCACTCTTAGTGGTAACCTGCTATTGATACTGGTTTTATATCAGTGGTGATTTTCTTGTACATTTCTGAAGTATCTGTTTTTCAGGGTATTGTCATTCATTTGATAATGTGCAGATCCCAGTGTTGACATATCAGGTGCGCACAACATTCTTTTATATGATATACCAAATTTTCAGCGAGGAAATTAGTATTCTATTGTTGTATGATATAGCAATGTCTGGGAAATGTCATTTACAAGGTTGTGTTGAATTTTTTACCAGATTCTCGGGCACCTGCTGCTGGTGGCCAAGAAGGTGGCAGCAGATCAAGGTTTAACTGAAGGGTATCGTGTGATCATCAATGACGGTCAGCATGGAGGGCAGTCTGTGTACCACCTACATGTGCACGTGTTGGGGCAACGTCAGTTGGGGTGGCCACCAGGCTAGATGGACGCACTGACACAGGCCAGGGTCATTTCTGTAGACACCATCTTGTCTTCATACCTTTGTGTTCCTTTTTGTCTCAGTAAGTTAATCAGATCCCAAATGATGTAATTGTAGTACAGAATCCTTGGCAAAATAAAATGTGAACATGAAATGTCTTGTTTGTTGTGTCTTGATGCATGATGCAAGTTGGATGCTGTATCATCAGTCAGTGAAGCTGGAACCTGATTTGCTTGTTCCCTCCAAACATATTTTCTCGATTCCCATGGAAACAATTTGGACTTTGTCTCAAAAAGGGGTGGATTTCGTTACTGGAGCATAACTAATAAAATGCTTAATATATCTCTACAAAACTGATATATCAAACAGATCCTGAAGTGGTGCCTTTTGCTACCTGCAGATTTTTGGCATTTTCATTTTTCTTGATTTCCATTGAAACAATTTCATTTTCGGATTATAACTTCAAAACCATTAAAGATTTTTCACCTAAACCTGGTACAACATGTATTAACAAATTGCAAGGGCTGAAGTGATGCCTTTTGCTATTTAGGAATTTTTCAAAATTTGAATTTTTCTCTGTTTCCATGGAAACAATGTAGACAGGTGAAACGGAGGGTAGGTGTCGTTTCCGGAGCACAACTTGAAAACCATTCAATATCTTATATAACTTGGCAGATAGATCAAACAGATTCCGAAGTGGTGTCTCTTGCTATTTGCGGATTTTGGACATTTATATTTGTCTCAATTTCCATGGAAATGATTTGGAGGTGGGCGGATTTTGTTTGTGGAGCACAACTTAAAATTATGAGACACTTTTCATCCAAACCGAGTCCATGTATTGATGAAACACTAAAGTGTTCATTGTGGTGTATTTGCCTGGACCATATCTCTAAAACTAATAGGTACTCTTTCATGAAACTGTGCACACACAAGTACTAGATTTTTCCTTATCCTGACTCATGCTTATTTGCTTTCATCCTCTCTTCCGAACGGTCAAGTGGAAACTTGAATCCCTTCAATTCCCTTGAAGCGAACGTACAATCACTCACCCTGAATTACCTCCCTTTCCCCACCAAAATTGGCACGTGACCTGCCATGTTTTGCTCCGCACTCTCTTCTCTATCGCCCAAGCGGACGGGTGGGCGGTCACTTCAGGAATCTCTTCGCGGCTTATAACTTCAAATATTTTGGATATATAGCACAAATTCTGCCGTGATTGTGTTTCTAAATATGTTGTTTATCATATTTATAACAAACTTTGTACATTGTATGTCAAATTAATTCACAATTTCACTTCGTTCCACTTCGTCAGCGATGTCGACAGACGAGTCAGTTGCAGTCATCCAGCATTGGGCAGCGCCTACACTGTTTGACGGCGGCATCCGGCAGTTGTCGCGTGAAGTAACTCAAGATTCCAAGGACTTGATGTTGATCAAGTCGGTCTTGACGATGAACACCATGGTGCGTCAATCTACTCAGCGCAGTCAACTACGATCCCGCTTCTCAGGTATACAGAGGTCCAAAGAGAAGAAGTTCCCGTCTACACGTGGCGGCAACTCGGGATCTTTTCGTCGCCCAAGTAATACCAGAAGTTACTCCGGCCGTGGGCGGTCCTCCGGCGGGAGCAGGATGTCCCGTTATTGAAGATCAGGTTTGGAACGACTGGCGTCTTCCACCCCCAGCTGTTTCTGTACAACCGTCAACCCTGGGTGACGGTTGGGTCTATACTGGGAGAATAGGTCACCACGCTACTTTGACCACTTTTCAAACTCATGTTAACGCGATATCTCATGAACTATTGTCCCCAACGTCTTCAAATTTGGAGACAGCCTACATTAGGGGATTACGCTGACACCAGTCGATTTTGGTGACCTTGACCTTATTTTCAAGGTCAGCCCACTACTTTGACCACTTTTCAAACTCTTGTTAACGCAATATCTCGAGGAACTATTGTACTTAATGTCTTCAAATTTGGTAACAGTCTACACAGGGGGATTACGCAGACAACAGTTGATATTAGTGACCTTGACCTTATATTCAAGGTCACACTTTTCAAACTCTTGTTAACGCAATATGTCATAAAACATAGTACCCAATGTCTTCAATTATGTTGACAGCCTTCATTGGGTGATTATACAGACACCAGTCATTTCAGGCATCTTTTATCTGACAAAAATATAAAAAGTAGTAAATATGTTATAAATATTTCGTTCTTCTTTAGCGGCGGGGGACATTGCCATATTAGTGGCAAACACTTGTTAAGTTTGTATTTTTGGTCCTTTGACTTTGATATTGGCGTGTACCTGACATAGAGGTACAAAGTTACAAATCACATTTCTATGTTATTTTTTTGATATCTCAATAATTACTCTTGTAAAGTAACTGTCAGATGATTTGCTGTTTCAGATTGGTGGGGACTGGGGGATTTGTCATCTGCTGATGACTCTTGTTTAATTTGCATAAAACTGGAGTTGCAGGCCGAGAACACTACCTACCATGAACATGAGATTTTACCATAGGGCACCTGCTACATTGGGTTGTTCAGCAGCTTAGGCTGTGGAAATCAAGGTCACTTCATTTGGAAACTACAAATGAATATTATTGTAATTGTTGTGTGGCATGTGGGGAGGCACTTCTCACCACCCACAGTACGTAATGACAACACAACCGTTCAATTCCCTTTAGTTGAGGTCAGTGTGGTGAGGCACATGGATCATTCTCACATAGGCTCTCACGCACAGTCTTACACTCTCATGTGACTCCCCTCTCTATCAGTAGATCTCTACCTCCCAACCATCTCTGGAAGTTGAGAGCACTGGTTCTTTTGCCCAACACTGTCACAGCTGAACTTAGCAAAATGACCTTGAACCCCCTGGGTGTATACCTGCTGCACATACTATCACTAAAGGCTCAACAGTAACGCATACAGCTCATTCAAGTCACACACTAACGCGACAGAAAGAAATCATTAATTTCCAAACATAAAGCCAAACACGTGTACTCGATATGTGGCATACGCAATGTCCTATCTGTATATAACTTATCTGTTTCATTCATTCGTATCTATTCATTCACCTGAAGAAGCAGTAAGAATATATCTCCGAAACGTCGTGTTCAGGAAAATAAGGGAGTTGACATCCATAAAATGTTTGCCTTCAACACAAAGTAGATTTTCCACAGATAGATTTACAAGTTACTCCTGTCGCTGAATAACCCCGCTCGTAGACCTTTACACACATCCACTCAACATGACATCGTATGGGTGTGTGTGTCCTAAATGTATCGTCCTATCTGCAGGCTGCATACGGTCTTCAGAGACTTTGCCCATATAATATGCAAATATCCTTTCTGCTTTTTGTTGTGTTACTGTGCTATGGTGATGTTCGCCACAATCCAGGCCCAGTTAAGATTTTTCATCTCAACGCGCACTGTTCAAAATATAAAGATGATTTAGTTAAAGCAGAACTAGACTCACATGATGTCATATGCCTGAGTGAAACGTGGTTACATCATGGTATTCTTAACAATGCTATTTCTATGCCAGGGTTCCTCATACCTGCCAGGAAGGATAGGGCAACTAGGGATGGAGGCCTGGCCATTTATGTTAGAGATATACTATGTGTACAGGAAACGGAACGTTTAGATATATACTAGCCACATAAAGAAACTGTGCATTGTCAAAATATTATCCCAGTTGATAAGTACGATAACAATGTAAAAGGTACATATAAACTTTAATGGAGGGATCATGAGACCATAACAAGTCGGGAGAATTTCAATTGAAAAGTCAATCACAATGACGTCACGAGTCCACAAGCGGGACAGGGGTCAAACGACCATGTCACAAGCTCAATAGCGGGTATGTCCACCATCGGCATTGAGAACAGCAGTGCATCGACGACGCATAGAGCCTATCAAACGTGCAAGGAAGGCTTGTGGGATGTCACGCCAGATTCTCTCAAGTTCTGTTGCAAGGTCAAGGACGTTATCTGGCGGATGAGGAACACGGCGTAGACGTCGATCCATCTCGTCCCAAACATGCTCTATCGGGGAGAGATCCGGTGACTTTGCAGGCCAAGGCAGTAAGTCAACGTTGTGGTGTTGCAAGAAATCCATAGCAACCCTTGCCGTATGAGGTCGGGCATTGTCCTGTTGGAATGTTAACCCAGGGCCATGACGTTGCAGAAAAGGAATTGCCACAGGTCGAAGAATCTGATCCCTGTAGCCCACACCAGTTAAGTTGCCCTGAACAATCACCAAAGGAGTTCTTTGGCATGCTGTTATTCCACCCCAAATCATCACGGAACCACCACCAAAGCGCTTCCTCTCCAAGACACAGGCCTGTGCATAACGTTCTCCCACGCGTCTATAGGCACGTTGACGTCCATCACTATGGGAAATGTAAAACCTGGACTCATCTGTAAAAACAACATTTCTCCACCAAAACAAGGGTCTGCGGAGATGATTTCGGCACCACATTCGGCGAGCTTGTCGATGACGTTGTGTCAGGATAGGCCGTATGGCGGGACGTCGTGGTCTGATCCCATGATGACGTAAACGTTGTCGAACTGTGTTGGGGTGGATACTGCGAAGTCCTGGGATGGTTCGGGCAGTCATCACTGCAGTCTGAAACCTGTGGCGAAGATTGGTCACCCTTATCCATCTGTCCTGTCTTAGCGTTGTTACGTGGACGTCCAGAACGTGGCCGATCGATGACGTCATTTGTGTTCTGGTAGCGTCTCACCAGTGCAGAAATGGTGTTCTGGTGGCAGTGGAAATGTGCAGCCACTTGTCGTTGAGACATTCCCCCACGGACCATCCCAATGGCCTCATGACGTTGTGCAGACGTGAGCCTTGGCATGCTATGCGTTTCAATAGCCGTTTAATTTTTGAACGATCGCAAGGGCAGGGGTTGAGCTTTCCAAAGTGACAGCATTGTGTGGCATTCATTTGCTCTGTTTCTCTTTCCCGGAATGCACGTGCAACAACGTATTGCACGTCTCAGGACGAACCCACTGACGTCACGGAACGTGGCACGTGCATGCATGTTGGATACATGTCGCTCATCTCTGAGTTTCAATCCTTATGTGTCTACACAGGTTTGATAAATTTAGATTTTAAATTTTTGTATGCACAGTTTCTTTATGTGCCTAG